CAAGCTGTCACATGCACACACGCATACGCATACATGCACACTGTACGCATACACATAGACACACAGACACACACAGACACAGACACACACAGACAGATACGACACAGAAACAGACAGCAGTTTGGGTTGGACCTTCTGTCAACTCTTTCCAGCGTGTATGTGTGTGTGTGTGTGTGTTTTTTTTTTTGCTTGAATTGAGAGAACCGCCAAACTTGAGGTCTCAGATGATTTTGCGTTAATAAACCTGGCTCTTTGCCTGTTTGATGCGAATAACTGCTCTACACCCCCTGCCTCTCCGCCCGTGCATGGTATCAACTCTTTGCAACAGTGGAGTTGTGCAATTGCCACGCCTTCTAGCTAGGACGAGCCTTGCCGCCAGGTGCCCGCACATGCACAGGCTTAAGGTGCACAGGCCCGTCCGGGTCAGGCGTGGCTGTAGGTGCATGCACAGGCTCAAGGTGCGCAGGCCTTCCGGAAGGCCCAGAAGTTCTTTAGCTTATTAAACTGTTGCCTAAACCCTTCCGGAAGGCTTAGAAGTGATTAGGCTTTCTAAACTGCTGCCTGAAACTTCTCCGGAAGGCCCAGCAGTGGGTTGGCCTCTCCAAGTAGACCTCTTAAACTGATGCCTCAAACACCTTCAGAAGGCCCAGAAATGATTCGGCCTCTCAAACTGCTGTTCTAACAGTTGCCTGAAGGCCCAGAAGTGATTAGGCTTCTCAAACTGCTGCCTTAACCTTCCATGGAAGGCTGCCTAAAACTTCTCCGGAAGGCCCAGCAGTAAGTAGGCCTTTCAAACTGCTGCTTAAAACTTCTCCAGAAGGCCCAGAAGTGATTAGGCCCCGCAAACGGCTGCCGGAACCTTCGCCAGAAGGCCCAGTGAGGAACTATTGCTTCTCCAGCAGGCCCAGAAGTGACTAGGCCTCGCACTTTGCTGTGGGTTCCGCGTCAGGTGCAGTCACGGGGTAAACCTGCTTGAAGTGCTCCACAAAAAATCGGCCGCTGCACGGGGCTCCGAGTTACAAGGCCCCTTGACTCTCACACTTGACGCGCGGTTGGCTGCAGACCGTTAAGCAGCCTTGGAGGCCTTAAACTGCACCAGGTTAAGCATGCCAAGCCGATAGGCTCCCGGACCTGGGAAGCACATGAGCCAAGTGCCAGCAGCCTTTGGGGCTCTTGTGCCGTCTCAAAAATCGGCCTGCGCGGAGCTGTAAGAATATGGCCTCTTGCAAGCAGCGCTCAAGGCCCGCCCTATGGCCATGAGGTCGAGCCTCAAAACTTTCGGGCGCAAACACAAGGAGCCTCCAAATAGGGCACTCCCCTAATAGCTATGTGAGGACGCCCGGACTCACACAGCGCCGACGGCAGCATTGTGTAGCCACACCAGCCCCTTGCCTGCCCCCGCTCGCCGGGGGGGGAGGGGGCGCCTTTTCTTGCACTCTGTTTGCATTGTGCCTTTGTGCGCGTTCGTACCTTTCTTTCAGTGTGCTTGCAATTTTCTTGCCAACCCAAAAGGGAGTCCTGAGTGCTATTGCTACGGCCCTGGCGCTTGTGTGGGAACTGTCTCTACGGACGCGTTGAGCAGTTTAGGTGACGGAGGTTCCTTGCCTTACGGCCTACCCATACTTTCGCTTAATGTCTGTACTAGACGTGGCGCAGCATTGCTATGGGTGACGGGCAGCTGAGTGATTGGTGCCGGTAGGTTCTTGTTTGCATTGGTCTCACCTCGCTGGCCTAGCGTTAAGTTGTCTTGCAATAAGGGCCTCTGCGCTAGCGGTTGCTTCTTTGTAGTCACGACTTCTTTTTCACTCGCTGGCTTGTACAGGTTGGCTCTCAAAGTAGTTGTCCTTGTCTCACACCTAGTTGCGAGACCCACAAGAACGGCCTACTGTGCTACTGATGTAGTAAAGAGGTGCCCGCTTAAAAAAAAAATCGCCAAGCTGTTGAGCCCAAGTGACCCCCTCCTGGGCTGCAAATATTATGACGGAGTTTTTTTCTGGGCACTCTTCTTCTGTACGGCCTCCAGACTGCTTCTTCTTCCTCCTTGTGCGTCAGCAGCACGCTTCTTCTTCAGGTGTTCAGCTGCCAAGTTCGGCAAGGCAGCTGCAGGCCAGCCTTTCGCTTTCTGCTTTCGGACTTAGATTACAGGACTTACCTCACTCTTGCAAGAACCTGTTTTCAGACCTGCTGGTCCCAAACTTTGAGGCTTAAAGCCATGTATCTGCAGCCTGCATCTTTGACCCTGAGCCTAGAAGCTGCACACTTCTAAGGTTTCGGCTTTTTCAAGCGAAGGCATGCCCGGCAGAGCTTTGCTCCGCCTGGGCTCACTCTGCCTCCTCCGGGCTTTCAAAGCCTTCCGGTCGGAGAAGGGCCAAACACAACAGCACCACCAGCACCTGCAGCATCTCGAGCTGGGCAGGATGAAGCTTGATACAAAAGTTGCAGCTTGACGACTGTGAATTTTTCAGCTGCAGAGGTGAAAATCCACAGAAAGGAAGCAGATGTAATAAGTCATTTGTGACCTGACACCCAGAACTGAATCATGCTTGATTGCTTTCAAAAAGGACAAGAGTTGTGTGGTGATTCTTTTTTCAGGTCGTCGAGTTTTTGGGGCCTCATTTTGACCAGGCGTGGCAGCATCCAAGAGTTCCTTCGATTGCGACGAAAGCGCATGCACAGCGCCCTCCGAGCCCTGGATCCGAATTTCTTCGTTTCTAGTTTTGTTTTTTGTGTTCATTTTTTCGCAAAATCAAAGGGGGTTTTGTGATCCTAAAGCAATCCATCCGTCGTTTCTTGTTTTTTTGTTCTGGTGTTCATGATTCAAGAAGTAAAGAACAAGTAGCAAAGTCGAGAATTCATCCAAATTCCAGGTCTCTTGTTTTTGTCATGATTCGAAATCAGAGGAGTGAGAACTTTTCTAAAATCAGCCCCCCCCCCCTGTTTTTTGTTTCTGTTTCTTATGTTCATTATTCGAAAACGAGAAGAGTAGAGATTGATCTAAATTCCACCCTATTTCTTGTGATTATTATTCGAAAGGAGAGAGAACAAGTGGAGAATTAGTTTAAAATTCCACGCCCCCTTGTATCTTGTTTTTGTGTCTTGTGTTCACTATTCGAGCAATTGGGGGAGGAGAGAAGGAGTGAGAATTCGATATCCGCCCCTTTCGTTTCTTGTTTTGATTTTTGTGTTCCTCATTCAAAAATTAGAGGAGTAGAGAATTGATCAGGTTCCATTCCCTTCCCTTTCATCATTTAATGGCACATTTTGTTCTGCTTGGAGATGTTGAGACAAGGGTGCTGCAGATGTACAGCACAAATACGTCACGGCCTGATGTCCTTGACTGCTTCGGCGCAGATATCTTGGCTTCTTCGCGCATCTTCAGCCAGAAGGGATGCAGTTTTCAGGGTGGCAAGTGCAAGGGTTAGCTTAGACCTGTTTCTTCGGGGTAGAAGACCATTGTCTCAAGCAGCTGCTGAAGCCCTTGCCAACTTTGTAAGCGAGCAGAGATGGTTCTTTTGCGACAGGCCTCAGGGAACGAACTTCCTGGCTGGTAGTTTTGATCGAGTTTCTTGCAGTGTATGGTATCTTTCCTGGTTGGTTGGTCCCGGGCATGACCGCCCGCATCCTGGTGTCTCGCTTCAGAACTTTCTTCTTAAGATTGTGCAAAGGCCTTCCGACCAGCATTCATTCCGTTAAACATGTTAAATCAGCGGCAGTCTTTGGTATGAAAAGCCTTAGTGGCTTCTATGGGTCCATGAGGTGTCAGCATTTTCACCATCAGATGTTCATTTTTTTCCAAGCTAGCCTTAGAGAATAAGTAGAGAAGTAGAGAATTAGTTTAAATTCATCCCCCTCGTTCTTGATTTTGTGTCGAGTGTTCATGCTCCGAACAATCAGAGGAGTTAATGAGAATTCTAACCTGGGTTGGAACCTGGGTTCCGACAAGCCCCAAACCCTTGCGAGCATGCGCGTCGAAGCCCTAAACTGTGTGGCTCTTCGGGCGGAGCTTGGCTGATGCCCTTCCATGAACGGTAAAGAAGCTTTGGCGTCCTTTTAAGCCAGAAAACAATCATTTGTACCCCTCGGATTCCCTCTGAAGATTGTGTCAGGACCCTTCCTTCAATTTGCGACGCTCTCATTTCCCTCCAAACCAAAAAACCCCGTTGCCTTTAAAAACTTGCAGTTAAGGCGGTCTCCTGCAGGGCAGCGGCAGTTGCAATTCAAGACCGCAACGGCCATGATTGCGACCACCAACGCCGTCGCAGCACTCGCACACACAAGCACGTGGATGTTTATGGGTACTTCTAGGTAGGGATATGAGCCAAAATCACCCTAAATCAGGGTATCTCATCGTTGCCCTCCTTGTAAGAACCCATGAACCTCCATTCACAGAAGCGCGCAAGAACCCCAAACCCTAGGATGTGTAGATCGCATGTGGCCCGACAAGGACTTCGGAGTTGTAACATGTGCTGTTTCTGAAAGAGGTTTCGGCTATTCCTGCCATTGGCTGAGACTGACACGAGCGAGGATTGCCTTCTTCTCAGATCCGTGATTTCCGTTAAAATGGTTTGCTTGTCTTTGCGATCGAGTTCTTTCTTGTTGGGTCTCGCCCGCGGATCGATGGATACTGGAGGTCGTAACGATTCCTTCTACGCGCGCGAGCGGGAGAGTGCCCCCCAGCGACCCTTACTTCGCAGCATTTGTGTTTCCGCCAACTGCTGGCGAGTATTCCCATCGACAATTTCCAGCAGCCGCACGTTACATTAGTCCGCATGCAAGGCCCTCTCAATCCATCGTGCTGGGTCCTATATGGTTAAGGTACACTCCCGAATTATAAGGTGCGCCGAGTGTGCCGGGCTTGGAAACCTACAACGCGAAAGCCCCCAAACCCCTTGGCCGTCGGCCCTGAACGCCCTAAGAAACCCTCCCTGCAGAGGTCCCAGTCTCAAGTTGTTTGTTGCTGCTGATTCTAGCGGCTCGAGCAAGCCGGCTAAACATCGGCCATGGCTGACCGGTACCTGATCTCCAAGGCCAAAAGAAACTTGAGGGTTTAGGGTGTAAGGTTTAGGGTTTAGCATGTTGGGTAAGCCCAGCTAGGGTTTCACAGGCGGAGGTGCCCGAGGGCGCGGCCGTGCCCGAGCTGGTGAAGCTCCGGCAGGCACGGGACGAGAAGCTGGCAGCAGCAGCGGGCCCAAATGCTTCACTTCACATCTCACAAAATGCTTGCAGCGAATTCACATCTTTTCAAGGAGAAGAAGCAGGCGCTCGAAGAGAAGCAAAAGCAACGCCAGGACGGACTCAAAATCACATCACCTCCCATCTGCCAGCTACTGTCAGCTACTGTAAGAACCGTGGGCTACTTGACACGTGTCAAGTCTTGCAGACCGCAGGAAGAGCGGGCGAAACTTAAAGAGCGGACTGAGGCTTACGAGAAGGACAGCTATGGAAATGTGCATGGAATCAGGCATCCCCAACATGTCACATGTCCGACGTTTGCAAAAGTTCTAGTGTCTTGGTAGAACAGAACATGCTCTAATTGGATCCCGAGAATGGGAAGATGGGAAGTGGAGCTGATTGGCGGGTCCCAAACCCATCTCCTGTGACTTGGGGTAATTAATGCCCTAAACCCTAAACCCTAAATGGCAGAGACTGGCAGAGACTTTCTCCACCAGGAGTATGCAGACACTGCCTCGGAGCTTGTGAAGCTCCGCCGAGAAGCGAAGCTCAATGGAAACTTTTTCGTGGAGCCTGAGGCTTTTGGAGCACGAAGACTCTGTGGCACTCTACGCATCTTCTCCGTATTCTACGCCTGTGCAGGCGAAGCTGCTGTTCGTCGTCCGCATTGCAGGCATCATCAAGATGAGCCCAAAGCCCAGGCGGGGTCCGAAGAGCAGAAATGTGCTGATCATATGTCGGTGCCTGTTGAAACTGTGGAAACTTGGTGAGTTGAAGGAAGGTGCTCCAGCTGCTGCGACTCAAGCAGCTGCACAATGGCGTGTTCCTGAAAGCCCTGTCCCCGGCAAGAGGGATGTTGTGGCTGAGGTCACCACCAAACCGCGCTTAGGTGAACAAGCCTATCCTGAACATGTTGAAGCTCGTGCAGCCGTACGTGACATACGGCTACCCGTCCCTCAAGACGGTGCGTGAGCTGGTCTACAAGCGTGGCTTCGGGAAGGACCTCTCGTAAGTTGCACCACATTCTAAGGCAGAAGACTTAAAAAGACTGCCAACAGGCAGTTCTCATGTGTTTCCTCGCAGGTGAATAAGCAGCGCCTACCCCTTGCGTCCAACGACATCATCTCGGACAACTTGGGCAAGCACCGGCCCCAGGTTGCACTGACGGTAAACCCAAAACAGACAGTTTTTTTTTCACATCCCATGTGTTTAGACAACACAGAACTGAATGCACGAGACCGACATCGCATCCCAGCTTCAGGCGGAATTCAAGAAAACGGAAGTCCCACTCCCTGAAGTCCAAGCTTGAAACGGAGGTAAACTGCCATTGACCTTCCTTAGTGGTCAGTGCTGGTATCAGTGGTGGTAGCGGCGGCCGTATGCGGTCGTGGTGGCAGTAGCAGTAGCACGAGCAGTAGCACGGCTGCCGCGCGTCTGAGCTCTTGTGAAGCATTGACGACCATGATCACCAAAGACACAACGGGCGCAAAGGCAAGAAGAGAACACTACCATCGCAGTCATGCTGCCATGGAAGTACAAACATGGCAAATTCGAGACAGCAATGGGGGATTTGCAAAGTCGCTTCACCCACCCCACCCGTCCCTTGCTAGCATGAAGGGCACGCGCGGAAAAGACCGCAGAAGACATCGAACGACGTGAAGAAAACCTTCGGCCAAAAAAAAAGGCATTTGACTGTTCTTTTTGCATCTGTTAACGCCCACCGGCAGTACAGCAGATACAAGCTCGATCTTTCTTGCAAGTTTCAGGTACGGAATCCACGGCATGGAAGACATCATCCACGAGATCTACACCGTCGGCCCAAGCTTCAAGCAGGCAACTCCCCTCTGGCACAAAACATAGTGTCGTGCCGATTTTAGCGGACTACTGCCAGGTGTCCAACTTCCTGTGGCCATTCAAGCTGAGCTCACCGAAGGGTGGTTTCATCAACAAGCGTCCCACACTTGGATTCTGCAGATTATCAACCTACTCGGACTCCTTTGTTTGCACTGGTCTGTTCCCGAGTGTCTGTGCTATCGGCTGCTGTTGCATCAGGTCACGGCTTCTGCGAAGCTCGAGGAGGCGACTGGGGCAACCGCGAGGCAACTTCGGGAATCGACCACAGCCAGTTTGAATGAGAACATCGAGGCAGTCACACTGGTTCCCACTGCACAGGAGCTCATCAACGATCTGCTCAAGCGCATGAACTGAGGCACACGGACCATGGAGGCAAGCGCCTGGAGATCAAAAATCTTGGAGATTCCGTTCGCCCATATTACTTGTTGCTCTGGGTGAGCAATGCACATCGCATGGGTCACATGGCTCGGCGACTGTCGTGTAAGCTGCAAATGGCCATGAAGCGCCGTGGGACAGCAGGGTAAAGGATTGCGGCACATCCGGGGATAGCCGTAAAGCCCAAAACCCCGCACCTTGAGCCAGAGCTTCAACCCTGATACTTGTTGTATTTTGCATCCACACCCTCAAGGCAAACGAGACAACCCTGAGTAGGTTCCTCCAGAGGTGGTCACAGATTTTGCTTCAATGGAAACTGAAGGTTTCTTGGGCCAATATGATGCCAACTTCCCAAATTCATCGCCCCTTCCGACCAGAGTGGCCGCGGTGCAGCGGTCGAAGAAACGCACGAAGCCACGGGCCAAGCCCATTCCCATTCCCATTCCCATTCCCATTCCCATGCCCATGCCCATTCCCATTCCCATTCCCATTCCCATTCCCATTCCCATTCCCATTCCCATTCCCATTCCCATTCCCCGCCGAAGCCAAGGCAGCAATGCTCAATAAAACCGCAGCAAACAGAAGGAAAGAAGAAGACGAAGCAAAGAAGCACAGAAACGAAAAACGTTCCATCTTGGAAAGCGTTGCAAAACACTACCTACTCTACTTCCTCTACCTACTACTACCTACTACCTGCTCCTACTACTACTTGCTACTTAACCTACTGCCTACTACCTCACTAGCTACCTGCTACCTGCTACCTACTACTTGCTAGGTATACACGGTGCGTATACGCCAGTGGTGTTTAAAAGGCATTTTGGTAAACGGCGAGTTTGCATTTTCATTCGTATTTGCGGTGGCTTCGTTGTTTCTGTAGAAAGAAGATGCGGCAAAAGTGGTAAAACTACTTGATTTGTCTGGTGTTGAGGTAACGGGCTCTGATTTCAGGAGACCCTCAACCAACCCTCAGCTCCCATGTTGAAGGGCTGGTTTGATTTCTGTGGAGCATTGAACCCTTATCAGCACAGGCAACCTGGACGTAATCATCGTGTGGGCATGCACGCTCTGGCCTTTGCACACATTGGCAACATGGACGTAATCATCGTGCTCTGGCCATTCGCACGCACTGGGAACACGTAAGCATGCTGCAAAACCGTGAAATATGAAGATTAGCCCACGTGGGTCTATGCACTGTGTTCCCCTCTACCTAGTACCTACTACCTACTACGTACTACCTATTACCTAGTACCGATTACCTATTACCTATTACCTATTTCTTATTACCTATTACCTTACCTATTGCCTATTCCCTATTACCTATTACTTATTACCTATTACCTACTACTACCACCACCTTTTACCTACTTCCTACTACCTACTACCTACTACCTGCTACCTGCTACCTGCTGCCTATTACCTACGAAGATTACTATTTACCACTTCTACTACTTCTACTTTTTCCGTGGCCTTGGCCTTCAGGAAACGCAATCGTTTCCACCGCTGTCATGCCCAGCAGTCCTGAGCATGTGCAACTGCTGCACGCGAGCATGCTTTTTGTTCAAAGGAAGTACATGTCACATTGTGACCTCAGTCAGAGTTTGACATGACTTGCAGCCTATCTAGGCATTCTGACAAACTGTATGCCGCCAAGAGATTGGAACCACCTGCACGGCCAAATGTGATCAGCGCTCACGGCGGCAATGCTGAAGACCAGCCATTCTGTTCATTTGTTACCTGTGATCCTCCGGCCGGCAACAGGACAGCGCAGCACTCAGCACCAACATCAATTCTCCCAAAAAAATCGATCTAAGACTCTAAGAGCACCCATTTCGCGTGACGCCATGATGCGGAGATGGATCCAAGCTGTAGCGATGGCATCGCTGCTGGCTCTGCCAGCGGGGCAGCTTCCACAGCTCCCGCAGCAGCTCCCGCAGCAAATCTCGCTTCCGAGCCTGCCTGGGTTGCCCGGAGGCGGTATTGGAGGCCATATGCAAGGGTGTGGAAAGTGTGCTGGAGAGTCTCAGAGAAAGTCTTCGGGTGGGCCCAAATCATGTGTCAGGTGCTCTCAGAGTGCCTGAGTGGCGTTTTTTTTTTTTTTTTTTTTTTTTGTGTGTTGATGTGAAGTGTGCTTCAGGTGCGGCTTCCGAGTCAACCGAGAGAAGGCTGCAAGCTGCAATGCAGGCTGGAGCTGAGCGAACTGTGCGATCTCCGTTGCTTTTGGTCAACATGGGCTTAGAGATCTGAGCGTCCTGGCCAAGGGTGTGTTCCACATACAGATCAAATCACACATCAGAACACACAACAGAGCACGCATCGACACGCATCGACACATGCATGCGCACGGACACGCGCACCCGCACGCGCACGTGCACACGCACGCGCACACTGAGCGACGAAGAAACTCTCTCTTTACAAGAGCAAAACGGAAGTGGGAGACGCACGAGAGACAACAGGCCCAAACGGGTGTCACAGCATGCAGGGCCTACTCATTTTACAACACATAACAAATGGAAGACCACAGTCCCCGGGCATCGCAGCATCCAGCGTCGAGATGCAGTCATGAAGTGGGAGACAACGGGGCATCACAGCGGCGTCACAGCATTTTGCATTGAGATAGAGAGAGAGAGAGAGAGAGAGAGAGAGAGAGAGAGAGAGAGTGAGTTGGGAGACATGTGACAAATGGGACACAGTCCCCGACAGGCGTCGCAGCATCCAGGGTATGTGCGATGTACAGGGAGAGAAACGGGAGACAACAGTCCTCGACGGGCGTCACGGCATCAGGCGTCGGGACAGCGGGAGGCAAATGCGACTCAAAAGAGGGAAACAAGAGTCCCAGAGGAGTATCACAGCATCCAGCATCGTGACAAGTGGCAAGTGGGAGACAAATGGGAGGCAACAGTCGACAGAATGAAAGACAAGTTTTTTGTTAATAGTGCCTTGCTTGCAAGTTCACTGGCAGTTCCAGTCGGAATATCTTCCGAATCCCCGAAACGTCAAGCAAGACGCCACGCGGGTTGAGAGCAGATCCCGATTCGGCAGGCCATCCAGTCAGGCATGCAGCGCTTTGAGGCTCTGCATCCCACGCTACCGAACTTGCCACCGCAGGCCCGACTCAGTCTTTTCATGCAGATGTATGAAACTGTATGAGAAGAAAGCTTTCATGATCTTTCATGTTTTACTTCTCGAAAGATGAGACGTTGCCTTTGCGACACAGCACGTTTGGAAAGGGCGAGACCCGGCTCGAAACAAAGGTCCCAAGAAGCCCCAATAGCACTGCCCCTAACCTTAGTACAATTGGACCATCATACGGACTGTCGGTCAGGTAGTCTTACAACCCCTCCACTGGTTCAGGCTGACATGAGTAGACTTCGCAGGTATCTTTCAGCTACCAGCCCGGCCCAGGGTCTGCAGGATCTACAGTTTGGGATACTATCCGTGCCACTGCGAGATGTTTGGTGTTCTTACGCGTCTTGACCGTGGAAACTTTATGCAAAACCATCGATTCGCGCAGCCGCGGTGGCTCCATTCAGGAACTGCAGAGCTTTTCAGTGCAATGAATGATCTCCAGCGACTCAGGCTCCAATCACAAAGGCAGAGGCTGCCATGCTGCTACGTGGGAGAGGATTCCGGGTCTTTCGACCGCCAGTCATTTCTTGCAGACTTGGACCTCTTTCCCATCGGCCAGGAAGCAATTTTTGAGCTTCAGCGGCATGGCTTCACTCAGACAAGAAAATGGCTGCCAAAGGGGATGTTTCACGAGCGCTTCCCAGAAGGCGCGCAAGTAAACCGCTATGAGTCTACGGTGGCTTATGTCTATACCCAGGGCTCTGCGTTCGCCTTCAACGCGAACAAGTTGTGCTTTGAGAAGAAGTGGAGAGAATTGTTTGAGCAGTATGGCAATATCATGCGGTGCTTGTGGATGTATGTTGAGAAGATGCAAGCCCGATATGGAAGGTCGCAAACGCAAAACCGTGGCATGCAGGGGGTGTGGGACGTCTTTCGGCGTGCATATCAGGTCGGAAGCCGCTTCGAATGGCGATCATTCACAAGCACTTCGATCGACAAGGATGCTGCCTTGGACTTCGCCAGTGGCAAGTACAGCGGAGGCAATGAGCTTCCAAAGCGGCCAGTCCTCTTTGTCATTCGCACAAATTCACGCGGCGCTCCTCTGTTCTCTTGGTCGAACTACCCTGACGAGGATGAGGTTTTGCTATTGCCTTTCCAGCGGTTTGTTGTGGAAGGCATGTCCGTGCAGGGTGGAACCCTGACCATAGAACTCCAAACAATTGTGCCTCATGCACAGTGGATGGCTTATCAGGTGATGTGTCAACCTGGCCTGGCATACCGCTTCTCTCGCAACATATACGACAGAGACGATCAACCGGCTGGACCATGCTGTGGAGATGTCTTCGCCGGCCGCAGGGAGGGTCGAAATTGGGTTGTGACAACCATCCCAGGGCTGGGGGACAGGTTTTTGCCATCTCCATCAGTGGCCAGGTCAAGCTCAGAGAGTGCGAGGTAGGGCAGGTAGGTCGCGAGATGTCAAGGCCTTCACAAATCCAGTCTGCGCAGCTTGGGGCAGTGGGGCATGACGATCAAATTGAGACTTACGATACGCCCCCTCCTTCTCCATTGGAGAGGATCGTTTGGTTCGTGCTTCTGATCGCAGGCTTGTGTTCAATGCTGCAGCGATGATCGGATGTGTCGAGGGCATTCGACGACCGAGGCGAAGGAAAGACGTCGAGCATTGCAGTTCCGGCATCCATTCGGGAAGCCCCAAAGCCTCGCGTGTTCCCAACATTCGAAAGCCCCCAAGCTCAACACAGGCTCCAAAGAAGCCCAGAAAGCCTGCAAAGCCCTTGCAAAAGCTTAGTAAGCCTTAGAGTTCCTAGAGCCCTCATCGGAACACCAAGTCAAAGCGGCTCACTCACTTACCTTGCTCAGGCCTTCAACACACTGGCCAACCAGGCTCAGCAACTCCACGAGGAGTTTTTGACGTTGCAGAAGAAAGGCATTCAGCTTGCCGGAGACGGCAGACAGCCCATGCTCGAGGCGGGTTGGGCAGATCGGCGCTGAGACCCAGAATGAAGACAGACAGAATGCACAACTTCAGGCGGACGCTGCGCCTTACGCCGACCAGCTAGAGTCCTTCGTGTCCAGGCCACCTTCAGCTCAACTCGGTGCCCTTGTCCCAGCGCTCTTTCGGGCTTTTTTCCCCCCCCACGCGCTAGGCAAATCGTCCTGGTGAACGAAGCAGAGCGGCAAGTCCAGCAGCTTGGTGGGTCGGGTGGAGGCATGGTCGATTCCCAGCCTTGGCCCATCATCTGTTTTTTGGGAGGGTTGCTGCTACTCGTATGGTTGTATGCTTATGATTATTTTGGCTATTGTAGTGAGCATCCCCCTAAACCCTAAACCCTAAACCCTAAACCCTAAACCCTAACCCCTAACCCCTAAACCCTAAACCCTAAACCCTAAACCCTGCACCCTAAACCCTAAATCCGTCTGCCAGGCTACCAGGGCATGTTGGGAACCCGGCTTCCGAGTGCCCCACAAGGGCAAGGAGCACCGGCGTCGGGCACGCCGGGCATTCCGGGCATGCCGGGCTTGCCGGGCATGCCGCAGCAGGCAGCTGCTGTGCTTTTGGTATTTGGTCCTGTTTGTACATTTATCATTATTATTATTATCATTATTATTACTATGATTATTATTATGATTATTATTATTATTCTTATTCTTGTTCGTATTCATGACATCATGTGGCTTTGAGTTGGAGAGCGTTGAACACACTATTTTCGCAGGCGGCGCAGGCTTCTGTTCCTGGCCAGGCATCCGTACGGCAGTATTGCTTTACGCGAACGTTGACAACCACAAGGGCATACGACATCCACGGTACTCGCACGCTAGTGCACTCTAAATCAAGATGTTTTTTTCTGCGTGGAGATGCCATGTGAAGCAGCTCCTGTGTTGAACAAGGGTCGGCCAGTGTACAGCCCTGAGGTGACGCCCACAACTGATGCCAGACTGTCTGCCGTGATTGACAAGGTCATTCGGCTCATGCAGGCCAGGCCGAACTTGTGCCAACCATTCCCAAGCCAAAGTCTACGACCATGAAATTTTTAGTGCGACATACGGGGACATGATGCAGGATTAGCTTGCCCAATCTGCCCACAGCTAGCGTAAAAATACGAAATACTCAGTACTGTCATCACTGCCAGTTTTGAAATTTCGAGCTTGGGATCCGCTGGTGATGGACCTGGGGCATCTTGAAGCAAGCATCTGGGGGAAGGGGAGGGGGGTCCATGATACCTTACCGCCGACGCTGGCGTTCTGAACGCCTGGGTCCTCCCTGGCCTCGGCCTTCTAGTGCTCTCGTTTCAAGCAGTGGATCTCAATTGCGGCTTTGGGTGACTTGGGTGGATGTTTAGGCTTTTCTCTTTAGAGAAGCAAAAATCATGCTGCTCGCAGGAGTTCCAGGGCATCGTGCCACAGCTCTCGCGTGTGTCTCAGCAGGCCATTCTCTCAAGCCGTGCCATGGGCAAGGGTTCTAGCAACCTCCATAATATGAACCTCCTACGTCAACAAATTTTGACCAAGCATGACATGCCATATTGGACTCCCCGAGAACAACCCTTGACCATTTTGCATCAATGTGCCCTAAACCCTAAACCCAAAACCCCAAACCCTGAACCCTAAACCCTAAACCCTAAACCCTAAACCCTAAACCCAAAACCCTAAACCCCTTCGAAAGCTACTCAGCCAGGCCATTGCTCCTCTCGCAAACGTGGGAGCCTCGCAGCAGGCTCAGCCAACCGCAATGCAAGGCCTGCAAACATCTTTAGGGTTTAGGGTTTAGGGTTTTGAAACCGTGATGCAGAAGGCCTAAAGCAACAGTGCCAAAAAGGGTGCACGTGAAGGGCTCACGTACCGTTTCGGCCCAAGCTTCCATGCAAAGGTTTCTGAGAAAACCCCCCAACTCTCCAGAAACTCTCCTGTACCTCTCCAGTGGTTCACAAGGCGGATCTTCATTTCCCCCCCTCCCCCCCTAATCGGCCGCTGGCCGCCGCTTGCCAATGGCTGTGGGCTCTGCAAACCTGCAATGGAGCTCCTTGGGATTCGGCGTGCATCCCACAAGCGGGTACAGCTGCTGCTCGACATTCAATGTATGAGCACTTTCTTGTTCCGCAGCAACCGTGAGCAAACATGTGATGAACAATCCAACTCCAACGGCCCTCTCTCCCACACACGGAAGGGCTGATTAATTCTCTCTCCCTAACACGTACCTTCTCCGCCGCTGATATATCAGAGTACATTGTAGTGTCTCGTCGTAGCATCGAGTATTTTCGAGAGATTCAGCATGATATCCTTTGATGCGCAGGGGCGGCAAAGCTGTATCTAGTTCATAGAATACGGTACTTCCATGTGCCGACGCAACTTGGATTCCCAACCTTCCCCGACAACAAAAGGCATTTAGTCATATGTGACTTGCAAACGTGTCATATCATGTGGGGGCTTCAGCAAGACAGTACTCCAACACTTCTAATCCCTCGTGTGATGTACTGTGCTCCTATGAATCGCTTGCTCAGATGAAGCCTATGATTTCCCTTGAGAATTGCTTCTGTGCATATCAGCATTCGCACACAAATCCTATCACTGGTATACATGTTGAGTACAACAAAGATGCTATTGCCTGCGCTATAGCTCCCGACAGAATGGACATGATTCATGTGGAGATTTGCAAGCTCTGCATACCCCTCGTGCCGCGTGTCATTCTAAATCCTGCACACACATGAACCCTAAACCCTAAACCCTCAACCCTAAACCCTAAACCCTAAACCCTAAACCTTAAACCCTAAACCCTAAACCCTAAACCCTAAACCCTAAACCCTAAACCCTAAACCCTAAACCCTAAACCCCCTAAACCCTAAACACCTTAAACCCTAAACCCTAAACCCTAAACCCCAAACCCTAAACCCTAAACCCTAAACCCTAAACCCTAGACCTTAAACCCTAAACCCTAAACCCTGCACTTTATGGAGGCCTTATGGAGGCTTCAGTGCAACTCCTATCACGTCAGGCTCTCTGCAAAAGAGTCTAAAACCTCAAAGGGTGTATTATACAAGGGGGCGATCTCACAAAGTCCTTCATCAAGTCGTTCAACAATCGTCTCAGCATAATGCATGCAACAAAAGAAGTTCTCAGCAAAAGTGCTGCCTTCCCAAGAGCCCATGCTCACTGAACGTGCCTGTCCAGATGCACACTTGAAACTTCAGGTAGACAAAGTAACCATGACTTCCGAAACCCGCCCCCGACAGTTCGAGATAGTGATGCGCGCGCAAGCCAGTGTCCCGTTACCTGCTTCCTGGCCTCTCCTGCTTATAGCGAGCGTCCGCCGAAGCCGAGTTTGATGTAAGTTAGGTCTGCATATTTAGGCTGCAAATCGTTAAGGGAACAGTCTGCTTGGGGCCGGGGGGTTTCTTTGCAATGCTTTTGATTCTTTTTGCAATACACCGAACACACCTTTTATACGCCTTTTGTGCCCTTGAGGCTGCTCTTGGAAAGATGGCACATGGAGTGAGGTAAGCTTGATGAAGGCATCGGCATATGCTTTCAATGATGGTCTCTGACTTCAACTTGAAGAGACAGTCCCCTGTGCTGCAGTGATTGAACCTTACCTGATGAGAGCATGGAACTCCATGTTAACGGCGTGTTGAAGGAACCTTATCTGCAGCTGCATGTCAATTCTGTCGCCCTGCACTACGGCCAGGCAGGGTTGGGGACTTCTAGAGGGTGTACTGTAGCGTTTGGATGAATGAGTGCCACTTCTGACTGCGGACTTTCGCAGATGATAAAGGCACATTGCGCACATTACCGTGGTCTTTCACGGCTCCTGTAGTGCTCCATCTGCCCTGGCCCTGCAGACGGTGTGGGAGGGCATGAAAGCTTTTCACTGCAAAGATGGTTCTGTGAGAGTGTTCAACGATGCAGTGACTCTTGGTCGAAAGGGCATCTCTTCTTGTATTCTTCTGAACTCTGCCGAATGTATGTGGACCTTATTTGCGAACAATTGCCAATGTTGCAAAACCAAAGCTGAGGAACCATCAGCGTTTGTCACGCGGAGCCAAGAGGATCGGACTCAGGGTTTGGACCCCATTTCCCTTTAGGGTTTTAGGGTTTAGGGTTCAGGGTTCAGGGTTCAGGGGTTAGGGTGGTTTCCTCCCTTGCAGCTTAGGAATGCCCTTGCCTACGCCTAGAAACGGCTACCAGTGGATGAGATGCCTGTCAGGATGCTGATTCCGGAACTCTCCCTGGAGAAGTTCCGAGAAGCTGTGGATCTGTGCGTCCGCAGCAACGTCCCATTTCTTCCTCCGTACGGTGCTCCTCCTTAACTGCGAGTGAAAGTTCTTTGAAATTGTGGGGGCAGGGCTTGAGCAGCTTGAGAGCCAACTCTTAGGCACTGGAGGCGCGCTCTACTTGCGCCCCATTCTTTTGGGCAGCGGGCCGGCGCCACTTGGCCGTTAGCACATCGCAACTTGATGAACTTGTGTAGCAGTGTAGCACGTGATTTGTCACACTCCCCGTCCCCTCCCCGCTCCCCCCTGCCATGATGCGATTGTGAGACCTGTGTCTGAAGAAAGCCCGGGCCCATACACTGGATCACTAGGTGGCTGCTATTTCCAATGACGAATTTGCACTCCCTTCCCCCTTCCCTTGCCCGAGGCAGCTTCCTCACATCCTTGGTTACGTTTGGGATTCGGGGGTTTACGAAAATTAGGGACCTCTGACATTGAGCCGCAAACAGTAGGATTCCCTTAAAAATAAGGGCCCCAATAAGGTACCCCGAATTTCGTTTGGGACGTCCAAGGCTTGGCCTGGCCCCAGCCAAGGAGCCCGGGCCTTTGGCACATGTGTGTCGCGTCGTTTGTCTTTGAAGTGCTTTCCGGTCGCCCGTGGGCCAAGGTACCTTTTCTTGGTGATTTGCAGCCCGGTGATGAACTACTTCGCCTCCGCCGGCCCCGAAATTCTCGAACAAGCCGGGGCCCGAAGCGTCAGAGCAGCTGAAAAGAAGCACGGGGGGATTGGGCGGAGGATGGGGATGTTCTTTGCCGGGGGGCCTTTTTTGCCAGGGTGTCGCTGGCAAGGCCCTGGGTGCCGCGCTTGTGCAGTGCGAGAGCTGTTTTCGTAATAATTAATGAATAATAAATTTATACTTAATAATTCATTAATTAATAATTAATAATTATTTGACAATTAATTAATAATTAATTAATAATTATTAGTTTTGTCAAAGCTACGGCAGGTTGTGCTGGAATACGATCGGTCTGCTGCACGGGGAATGGGCAGCATCAAGTGCTCCGGCAACTATGGGGCAGACCTGTTCCCTTCAGCTGAGCACAAGGCGCCAAGGGCACAAGCAGAAGCTGTTGTCTTCGACTCACGGCTAGCCGGTGTGAGAGGCCGTGAAGTTGCAAGGATACTATGCTGTTGCGGCTGCTTTCCCGAAATACTCTGCCGCATTGGTCACTGCAGGGATGTTTTTGGGTTGGGCACTTGGGATACTCTCCGTACTCGGCGAAAATCTGCGGGATCCTCTGGAGGTGGACAGCCGGGAGAATGTGCGATTCTTTGGGGGTGGTCACTCCAGGGGCCCTCTGCATGTGGGATTCTCTTGTTGGCACTCCAGGGATACCCGGCGGGACTCCTTGAGCGGTTGTCTTGAGGTCGGCACTCCAGTGACTAGCTCCCCGTTTCACTGCCCTATCTTTCGGTTCTCTCTTTCTCTCTTTCTCTCTTTCTCTCTTTCTCTCTTTCTCTCTTTCTCTCTTTCTCTCTTTCTCTCTTTCTCTCTTTCTCTCTTTCTCTCTTTCTCTCTTTCTCTCTTTCTCTCTTTCTCTCTTTCTCTCTTTTCTCTCTTTCTCTCTTTCTCTCTTTCTCTCTTTCTCTCTTTCTCTCTTTCTCTCTTTCTCTCTTTCTCTCTTTCTCTCTTTCTCTCTTTCTCTCTTTCTCTCTTTCTCTCTTTCTCTCTTTCTCTCTTTTTCTCTTTCTTGCTTTCTTGCCAGCGTAGCGCTACGTGCCCCATTGCCCGCTTTCTTACTCCTGATGTTGCCCGAAGCATTGCTGACACAGGCTGAAGGCTTCATGGTGGGCTTGTACTTGGATCCCACAGAGCAACGTCACCGGTCTCGAAGTCAGACTTTTGCTTTGTATCACAGAATAATAGACATAACAATAATAAGAATGAAAATAGTCATAATAACAGTAATGGTAATAGTAATAGTAGTAGCAGTAGTAGTAGTAGTAGTAGTAGTAGTAGTAGTAGTAGTAGTAGTAGTAGTAGTAGTAGTAGTAGTAGTAGTAGTAGTAGTAGTAGTAGTAGTAGTAGTAGTAGTAGTAGTAGTAGTAGTAGTAGTAGTAGTAGTAGTAGTAGTAGTAGTAGTAGTAGTAGTAGTAGTAGTAGTAGTAGTAGTAGTAGTAGTAGTAGTAGTAGTAGTAGTAGTAATAGTAATACTAATAGTAATAGTAATAGTAATAGTAATAGTAATAGTCATAGTCATAGTAATAGTAATAGTAATGGTAATAGTAATAGTAATAGTAATAGTAATAGTAATAGTAATAGTAATAGTAATAGTAATAGTAACAGTAGTAATAGTAGCAATAATGAAGATGTATCAAGTCCATCTTGGTTTCTTCACTGCCTGGGTATTCAGGTTACATCGAGGAATTCAACGCACCTGCCCCAGTGGCAACCAGCCGCTCCTTGCCTTTGGCAGCTGTGCAGCTGCCTTCTTAGGTCACAAACTTTGCCGCCATAACAAAGGATGGCAAGTACGTCACGCCCGAGCGCGCGCCCGAGAGTTCCTACCTAAGTCCAAGCTGTCCCCACCACCAGTCGTTCTCAAGGTCTCCCTCGATTCTGGCTTCGGTCACGAACAAATGCTTGCAGCAGCCAGCAGCTTGGGGATGTTTTCTTAAAGGCGCACCTTCTTGCAACCATTCCAATTGTCGATCAGGTTGGCCAAGGACATCGGCCTTCAAGTGGAGCAGCGGCGAGTGGACTTCTTGCAGGACCTTTGCCGATGACTTGTGACTACAACGCAAGATGATGCAAGTCTCACGTGTCTTGGTGCAACACATGCGTCGTGGAGGAGGTGAGCACCTTTAAAGAAGTGGCAGCTGTGGGCACCGCTGCAGTCGTGCTGCCAGTGAGGCCTGGCTGAGAGCAACAAAATGCAAATGCTCGCGTAGCTTGTGTGTGCAAATATGCAATGTGAGTACCCATGTACCGAGTCAAAAATCTCTACTGACAGGTCATTGACAATGCGGGACAAGACTTTCATGTTCGAGAAGCATCAGGCAGCAATGGGATGTTGATGCAAGGCATCCAACCACTGACGGGGCTGTCGCCCATCAGCCACCCCGCAAGGGCCCCACAGGCTCTGCACCTCTTGCACCTCTGGGACCCAAACTGACCCGATGCGGATGCTCATGACTCCCGTGCCCATCTGTGTTGGCAGCCCACGTTGAGATGCCCCAAGGATGTTAGCATCCACTTTGCCCAGGTAACCTTGTCCGAAGGCACTTACGACCCAAACATGACCAATCAGAACACACTCTTCCCATCGTTTCCCATCCACCCACACACTGGTGCTTTCACTCTCGCTCTGGAGTACCGGCGGGGCAGCGTGTGCCCCGGCCGTTTGTTCCTGGCAGGCGGTCCGCTCCCCGCGCTTGAGGGCAAACCCACTAGAGAAGACGGCACACTTGATGTGGCGCGTGCTTTCATTTTGGTCGAACACTTCCCCATATTTCACATTTTGTCCCCAAACAGTGTGTCAGCACACTGTCAACACTGAGGGCTTTTCTCGAAGCCTTCTCGCATTTTGGGCTGAAATCGCGTTCTTGCCTTGGCGCGGGCTTGTACTTCGGGGCCCACATGGACTCTCACTGTTTGGGGTCTGTGCTGGCGTCACGTTCCACAGTCATCCCCATGAAGCCACCCATGCATGCCAGAGCTATCTCTCTTCCGCAGCATTAAGCAGCATCCCTTTCGACTGAAGCTGGTGAAAGCCCCCGCTGAATTGCCAGTCTAAACCCTAAACCCTAAACCCTAAGCCCTAAGCCCTAAGCCCTAAGCCCTAAGCCCTAAGCCCTAAGCCCTAAGCCCTAAGCCCTAAGCCCTAAACGCTAAACCCTGAACCCTGAACCCTACACCCAACTTTGTCCAGGTGATGGCCAAGCTGAAGACGCAGCTGGAAGCCATCCAAGTAGGCTGCAAGCTGAAACGGTGACTTCACTGCTCGGTGTGCCAAAAACCATCAAAAACCCCCAACGTTGCACTCGAGACAGGCGATGCTCCCGACACACATGGATGGACAAGGAGCCAGTGTGTTCCGGGTGTTGGTGGCACATCTGCAGCTTGGTGCAGCGCCACAAAGGCCAGGGCCAGGAGAATGCTACACAACTTGCCACAAGGCCCTGAGGCACAAGACATCGTAAGGCTCAAATCCGACTGCGGGCCGATGGTGTGTGTAGTAGCACCACGCAGTATTCCTGGATTCTGAGATGGCTTTCTCGCATGCGCCCCGCTCACTGTTTCTCACGCTCCCGCGCGCTGCATCGCTGCATGTGGAGACTGCGTCTGGCACGACCGCCTGCAGGGGCGTTCGTTTGGTAACTCTGAGGGAAGCTAGTGATGAGTTGAGTTCATGAAGTCCGATGCTGCGAGGATCATAGTGTCAAGTTCGCCCCCGCAGGCTGGGAAAGGATGACAGCTTTTGTCATGAGTCATGGTAATGTCGTCCATTCTTCCGTCTGATGGATATTCCAACTTGAGACTGGCGGTGTGCTTTGATCATGCAGTCACCCAGGTTAAGATGTGTCAGGATGCTCTGTCAAGTGTGTTTGTCGTAACATTATTCTTTGTGTGATTCCTCGAGTCCTGCGCGCATCCAGCGTCATCTCGACGCACATGCAAAAGAAATGCGTTGCTTTGCCTCTCAGGCTCGGCTTTGACAGCAACGAACAGCCTGGAACGTCTGTGAAGGGACGCAGAATCCGCGACTTCACATTCTGAATCTCTCCTCCATGCAGCGTTGTACAGCATCGGTAAAGATGAACCGCGCGTGGAAGAAGGATTTCTCCGCGGCAGGGATGCGACCTACCAACCCTTTACATGTTGCAAAAAAGGGTGGCTTCTGTGCGAGCTTTGTGCTTTGCTCATCTTTGTTTGCACTGTTGGGCGCCATGTGCTCTCATGCTGTTTGCAGAGATGTCATAGCTGTTGGGATGTTCCCCCTTACACTAAGAGTCCTTCATAGGGATCAGAATAGGGGGCTGACAAGGTTGGACACACGCTTCCGTGAACTTCAGCGACGGGGCAACGAGATTGCAGGTGACAGCACCAGGCAAGCTCAGCTTGCTGCATATCGGATGCAACAAGCGGCCACTATCTCGATCATCCTTGCAGGCCCATGATGGAGAAAGATGCAAGCGAGTATCTGCAAGAGCTGGAAGCCTTCTACACCGAGCAGGATTGATAACATCGAGCGCGCAAGTCTTGTGAAGGCTTTGTGAAGTCATTTGTCAAAGTCTTTGATGTGACTGGCGTGTCAGGAGCGGTATGTGGGGCAGGTCAGAGAGATCCTCAAGTCTGGCTCAGGTACTGAGACCAAGAGAGTGCACATGGTTTCTGGAATCGAGAAGGTTTCAGGGTTTCAAGCACCTCTTTAGCAGCGAAGGCTCTCCAGGAGCTGGAGCTAGGATCCTCGGCAGCGCTCGGCTTGAAGATTTGCGAGGCGCACCAGGCATGTGCTGCAAGTTTAGGGTTTAGGGTTTAGGGTTTAGGGTTTAGGGTGCCGCAAGCAGCGCATCAGTTCTCAGCATCCCATCCCGTCCCCAGAGGTCTCGCCATGCACCCCTCAGCCCCCGTGAGCAATGAAAAGACAGACATGGTTCGCCGTCCTCCGATGCTTTTGAACTGGGATGTGCCCCCCTTAGACTATAGGGATTATAGTTTCCCCCCTGTTGTGATCCCTATTCAGGACTCTTAGAATAAGGGGGGCACATTCCAACTTTTGAACCCTAAACCCTAAACCCTAAACCCTAAACCCTAAACCCTAAACCCTAAACTCTGAACCCTGAACCCTGAACCCTGAACCCTGAACCCTAAACCCTAAACCCTAAACCCTAAACCCTAAACCCTAAACCCTGCCCCCAAAACGGAGAGGCCCAGGCGCCGGTGGCGCGGGCGGCCTGCCTGGCATGGGCGGTGCCTCTGAGCAGTTTCAGCCGGCAAGATTTAATAAATACACGGAGTATATATTTTTATATGTGTGTATGTATATATAAGGGGTCTTTATAGGGCTATAGGGTTTATGTTTGTTGGGTTTATATAAGGGGTGTATGAATATGAGGGTTCCCCAAGTAAGGGCCAATATTTTGCAGTGAGAAGTCCTGAGCATGGAGCATAGTGTGAACAGGGCAGCGCGCAGAACACGGCCTGGGAATGTCTTTTAACAAGCTTCTCGTAGGGGTCGGAAGAATTACTAATAGTAGTTTCTTATGGTCCCTCAATAAAAATCCGTAATAACCCCGAAAACCTTATTCTTTAAGGCCGTATATGACTTCGAGTTGTTGTGTCAGTGTCAGTATACGCAAGCCTGTATGTGCCTTTTTGACAAGAAGCAAGTTAACTCAGTACATCTTGCCAGACATTTCTTGGTGATGCCAAGGCATGCCAAATGCAGCTCCGCTCCATGGGGTGGGGAATGGCTTTGGGGCTGGTGGCGGTAGTTTTGGGGGTCTTCGACCCCCCTTGAGTCCCATGAGTGCATCCAGCACAAGCGCTGGTCTCGGGCAAAACCTAGGGCCCATACCCGTGAGCCTTCCAAGCGGGCTTGGGGCTGGCTTTGGCAAAGCCCTGCCAGTCAGCAGTTTTCCCGGCTTGGGCGCAAAGACCCAGAGCCCCAGCGACCGCCAGGGCCTCGGTCTCCGAAGCATCGCGTGCTGCGTGCTGTGCTGATAATGCGCCACGAGCATGCAACGAGTGTGCAGTGTTTAGACAGGTCCAAAACACCAATCTGCGAGCAAAACCTCAATCAAGAAATGGGCCTGTGCTGAGGTCCTGCCGTACGTCTACCCAAGATTGAGGCAGCGCCTTCTGCATGCGCGGCTACCTCTCCCTTTCCCTCTCCCTCTCCCTCTCCCTCTCCCCCTCCCTCTCCCTTTCCCTCTGAAGACCCAAGAGGCGCCCGGGCTTTCAAGCCTGGAGGAGATGGGCAGCGCACTGCTCTCAGAATGTTCTGCTTCCTAATATGGTGATTTCCCTAATTTGTGGTCCTTTTTTGGGTCCTTATTATAAGGCGGCCCCTCTTATTCAGGATGCCCAAAAAGGGACCCTAATTTTGAGAACTGACCATATGAGCGGAAAACAACGCGATAAGCACGTCTGAGCAAGACATGAGGTGAAGCTCAACACTGCTGTGCTGCCTGACGGCGTCGTGGGCGTCTGCAGTGGAGGCTTTGGGCTTCTTGTCCTTTTTTTGTCTCGGGTGGATGTGAACGGACCATCCAACCACGCAGGTGCATCGTGCAGGTGAGAATCAGAGCCGTCAGAGTTAGACTCCTCCAAGGCACTGGGATTCGTCGGATCGTGTACCATAGGTGCAGCCGCTCCAGGGGTCGCTTAGGCTTTAGGCTCAGGCTGAGGCTATGCACCTGCAGAAATCTGTGGAGTGCACTCCTCCCCTGTAAGTTGGCGCCCATGTGGGAATGCCTAGACAAGAGTGGAGTCACACAGCCAACTCAGCAGCACGAATCGCAGAAGCACTGAAACGTAATGCTAGGGTCCAATCCGTGCTGGGAGTGATGCTTGTTTGACAAACCGGGGGATACTTGCAGTGTGACTCTGGAAGCCGCAATCCTGCCATTCGACGAGTGGCCTGCAACTTAAGTACTGTGGTGTGTACTGAGTTTGCAGGCAATACCATGGAAAAGTTTTTTCAGTTCTGAAGGCTCAGTGTCAGTGTCCTAAGTGGGCACGATGCTTCGTAGAAGGCGCTCTCACAAACCGACCAGATCAAGCATACTTGCACATCAATGAAACAGTTCTGCTTCATGTGTGCAGCCCGTCGGAGCGCCCTTAGAGTGCATTAAGCACAGCAGAGGCGTCGCCTCAAATGATTGCGCTTGGCCCGAATGATTTCGAGTCCTTGCGGAGGCCGCCTCTGTACTCGTGTTGCGCCTGTTAGCTCTCAGGTCATCCTTGAAAGGCACCGGTGAGTAGGAGTTGACGCATCGTGGCAGGGGCCGTTTAGGGTTTAGGGTTTAGGGTTTAGAGTTCTTAGACACAAGGCCTGACTACAACCCGCCTCACCGTGCGCCAAAAGCGCCGTGCCGCAGTATGCCAATAGAGCTGCGGGCTCTTCCCGGCATCGCTGGCGGGCAAATGCACTCTACTCAACCTTCTAGCCCTGAACTCTCTGAACATCAGCCGCCTTCGATGCAGAAATTTCTTTTCAAAAAGGAGTGGAAGCACAAAGAGCTGCGACACATGCCCAGACTCCCTGTTGGCTAATTGGGATTTTCCAGCATGGCTGACTCTGTGGTGTTGCTGCAGCGAGCATATGTGGCAGATCTCCTCTTCTCACCCTCTGCCGTTTGGCTGCAGTGGGAAGAGCACCATGCGCATGCTCTTTGGCAAGAAGAAGGAGAAGGAGCGTCCTGCTGCTGCGCATCAGGGGGCAGGGATCTGATAGGCTTTTGGCTAGACTATCGGTAGAATATCATGAAAAGTCCTGTCGTTCCTTGAAAGCACCAGCAATTTTTCAGGACAGCTCTGAGAATTTCAGCAGCCTGTCGACTCCTTCGCTGCCCTCCTTGCCACCAGCAGCGCCTGCCGAAGAAGGCGGGCAGCGGGACTCGCATCCAGACTTCTGAGCCATGGAGTTCAGAAGGAAGACGCGGGATCTCAGACTCCTGTCAAGTTGCTTCCCGAAAGCATCCGAAAGCATTGAAGTGCATTTAGAGTTAGGAAGTCACATCTGGATGGACATGTTCACACTTCGTCTCTCTCTCTCTCTCTCTCTCTCGGCTCTCTCTCTCTCTCTCTCTCTCTCTCTCTCTCTCTCTCTGCTCTTTCTTCGCCTGCTTCCTCAAACTTACACCACGTGTTCACGTGATTGGTGCACGGAGCCATACAATCTGCCATTCACAGACAGGCAAGCCCACAAATCAACTGCCCGCCAGCCTGCTTTGAAAGTATGTAACCCGGACATACGGGCAATTGCCCCCCCCCCCCCAACCCCCCCCAACCCCCCCCCCTGGTGGGCGTACAGTAAGAGTGTTTAGTGGATAAGGGTTCAGGGCTTAGGGTTGGATTTAAGGTTTGATGTTAGAGATTTAGAGTTTAAAGTTTAAGGTCATGGCAGAGCAGGAAGTAGGGTCGGAGGGAGTGGCTGGGGGGGTGGGTGGGTTGGGCGGTTTGGGGGGTGCGCTTCAACACACACACACATGCAAATTATGCAAATAACAAACATGTACTGCCAGGCCATCATGATTCATCATTCCATGCAGAAGCGACCGCTGCACGCGGCCAATTGCTAATCCATGCTGCATCTCAACATGTGCGTGTAGTAACGCCAAGTTGAGAATGAAGAAGTTTTGTTTTGGCCAAAGCTTGCTACATGAGTGCTCCACTGAGGCGCCTCCGACCTGGTCTTTCTTCCGAGCCGCCCGGGTGGTGATTGGCCGCCTGCGCTTGAAAGCTCAGCTGCCCACGACCTGAACGATGCACAGCCGGAGCAGGGTTCGTGGAACAATCCTACCCTTTCTCGCTGACCCTCTTCAACCCTCAACACCAGTCATGTTGAACAGCCAGCGCAATGCGTGTTGCGGGTAGCTGATGTTCACGCTCCGCTCAGCGAGCTGCCTCCAAAAGCGGATTCCGAGGCCGGCAGATCGGAGAAGGCAGATCGTGGACTCGGAGGCCGAGACGCTGTACAGCTACCCAAAGAGCCCAAGGAATATTCCTTAAATCATAATACGGATCCCTTTGTCATGTAAGCTGTATTCCTTAATTGACAGGTATTGGGCTCCCTGGATACTCATAGCTGCACGGAGTGGCACTGTGTGGAAGAGCTGTCATATGATGTCGCTTGGGCTTTGGGGGGAGGTCGCATGTAGTCATTGTGGCCATGTCCTTGTTGGAATTCCCATGAATCCCCCACGGCTGCGTCGGCAAGAAGTGTGCTTGCTACTCGTTGGCCTCCTTTGAACTCGAGCTGTGTCCGGAAGGAAATCCCACTACCTGGACGAAAGTCGAAACTGGCAGGCATCCTCGCACGGCATGTGGTTTAGGGTTTGGGGTTTGGGTTTAGGGTTTAGGGTTTTAGGGTTTTAGGGTGTAGGGTTTTAGGGTTTAGGGTTTTAGGGTTTCAGGATTTTACGGTTTTAGGGTTTAGGGTTGTCGTGGCAACCAAGGTGTTTTTCTGCTTCGTGTTGTACTGCCAGTATGCCTGTTTGTATTGCCTGGTTTTGACGGTTGTTTTGCTTTCACGGGTTTCGCCGGCGGCCGCTGCATGGAACGTGCCGTCCAGCGCTATTTTGTGCGTTGACTCTCGCTCTCGGAGCTGTTGCATCCCTTCGGCATCCAAACGCCTGGTACGTTGAAGGGCTTGTTCGCGTTGCAGAGTGCATTACTTTGCACACATGAAGCAGCTTTGCACTTGCGATTGTTTGCGGCTTTGCGAAGGCCTCTTTGACGACGACGAGGAGGAGGCCCCAAAGCCCGAGCACGTGGAGGCTGGAACAACTTGCTGGAGAGAAGTTGGCACAGAAAAGCCTTTGCCACTGTCTGACAGCATGAACCGAATGCACATGCCTTCTACAGATTCCAGAAGGCAAGACCATACATGCTGCAGCAAACAGAGATGCGGTGGGCGGTCAGGGCATTGAACACGGATGTTGAACGTAAAGAGCCAAGGGGATCGTGGTATCTGGTCTGTGCAAGAAAGGCTGCAATCAAGGATTGTATTGAGAGGTCGCAGAAATAGTTGTGTCACGTCATTTTGCTTTTCACAGCTGCGGCTCATGCCGTTCTGCGAGGGAAGCATTGGTGCGTTTTGTCTTTCACGCTAGAAGCAGCTGTTGTGAGTTTTTTTGTTTTTTTACTTTTTCTCTTTTTTTTAAAGTTTTGTCTTTTTTTGAGGCCAAAGGCACTGGCAGAGGCGAGGTTGTTGCTCTTTTTGAGTGGGAAGGTGAAGGCGCCAAAGGCGCCCACGATGGCCAGCGAGGAGACAGGACGTTCGGCGCCTGATGGTTCTTGCATGTTGGCGGTTTGGGGTTTAGGGTTTAGGGTTTGGGGTTTAGGGTTTAGGGTTTGGGGTTTAGGGTTTAGGGTTTAGGGAGATTTTTGAACGTGCTGTTGAACTGTTCCCACGTGGGATGTTCTCCTTAGTAGGGATGATTACTAGGGGGTACTAGAATCCCTATTAGGGGCTGAAGTATAGGGGAGAACATGCCAAGTTCCCACTGAATTTCAGAAGGCCCTAAACCCCCAAACCCTAAACCCTGAACCCTGAACCCCGAACCCTAAAACCTAAACCCGAAGCCCTTTTGCTTTCACTTTTGCGGTCCTGAGAGGCCCGGCTTCGGGGGTGGATGCCAAGGCGCCTCCTGAAGAGCAAAGGTTTAGGGTTTAGGGTTCAGGGTTTCGGGTTTGGGGTTTCGGGTTTAGGGTTTCGGGTCTAGGGTTTAGGGTTCAGGGTTTAGGGAGGATGACAGTTTGGTATCAAGTGCGGATGCCTTGCTGACCTGGCCTTTGTTGCGCAGCGTCCGGCCATGCTGGAAGGGCTCTTCGCGCAGTGTGTCAGAGTTGCCAGTGCAAAGATACTGAGGGTGAGTGCATGGTTAGAACGAAGAGCCGACTGCCTCGTTCAAGTAGCAGCAGAAGTACAGGCTGAAACGTATGCAAGGAGCCCTCGAACACAGAAGCTCTCGCAAGGCCTTTGGAATCACTCCCAGCGAACCCAGTACCCTGAATTGAGGAATATAGGCTTAAGGTATGAAGGGATCCTCATGATGACTTTAGGAATATTCCTTTGTGAAGGGGTATTGGGCTCTTTGGGCTTCGCCAACCATGCAGCTGCTGAGCCATGGCAGCGCAGGGTGACTTTCTGCTGCGGAGCGATGGCCGGCAGGAGCGGAAGGTGTTTCTCATCAGGGGCACGGATCTGGAGATCCTCGGCAGAAGCACGCAGACAGAGAAGCCGTCCATTGTTTCTAGCATGATCCTGCATGCAAAGTACCATCCCTGACATGCTTAGGATTGGTGGCGAGTCTATCTCATCTGAGTGGACAACGGACTCGGAAGCTGAACGGGCAGCCCAGAAAGACTGGGAAAGCCGAGGACATCAGGAAGTTCCTTGGCTTTTGGAACGTGCTTCGCCGATTTGCAGGCAAGCCAGACATGCTGAAAGCTCATGCTGCATGTGCACTTGCCGGGAAACTCACAGACCCATGCTCATGTAACCATAAGGCGAAGGACCACGCCTGGTATCGTAGAAGCAGGTGCATGACTACTCAGCTCACTCACTGTAGCCTCATTGTCAGCACCAATGAGTTTGTAAAAAATGGCCCCGCAAAAGAGACACCAGTCTCTGCCGCGCCTTCTATTCCAACTTCAGCACAGCTTGCTATTATTTCGCACAGCATAGCCAAGCAAAGCTGCACCAGCCATGTCTCCTCTTCAAGAGCTTGAGGGCGGTGAGAGGTTGAAGCAGAAGACCAAGAAGAACAAAATCGGCCAAGGGCAGGTGGAGGGTCCGGGAAGTGGCACGAGTGGCACGAGTGGCTCAACGGTGGCCTCTCGCTTCCTTGAAGCCTCCAGCTCGAATTCCATCGTGCAGGCAGCTCAGTCGGTGCACATCTACCCAGAGGTGAGTTCAGTGAGGCCAGCCAGATCCAGAGAAAGCTGGCAACCTCAGGTTCCATGGCTCCGAGACGATTTTGAGAAGCCTCGGAACGAAGATGGGAGGGGAAAGCAGCGGAACGCGAGAAGTACCCGAAATCATGAGAGGAAGGAGCAGAAGCACGACACCTGGGTTCAGCAAGAATGGCAGCACTGGCAGAGCCAGAGTCAGCACAAGGAGTGGCAGAGGCCTCGACCCAGCTACGAGCCGAAGAGGTCCGAGACCAGTTCTCCTCATTCAGACTGGAGCGGCTATGTCCAAGTCTCGAGCGATGGGCTTCTCAATATTCGGCTGGCAAGGCTGGGCCTCAATGTGCAGTCGCTGAAGAGCTTTTGCGCGTGGCTCCCGACGGAGCTGCACCGCCTGAAGCAGGCGAAGGCTCGCAGACTCTACGTCTCTACGGATGACATCGTGCTGGCTCATGATGTAGACCTCTCACAGAATGACTTGGACGACGAGGCCATGCGGATCCTCCTCTTAACTCTAAAGCAAGCCAGAGTTGTTATTGGTGTGGCCAAGTTCTACCAGAACAGGTTCGGCTGCCGCAGTGCCATCCTTTTGTCACAGTGGATTCGCTCCGCACCGTGGGCACTCTTCGAGCTTCACCTCTCCCACAACAACATAAAGACGGCAGGAGCCCTGGAGCTCATCAAGGCCATCGCCGAAACAAAGAGCTACCCCTCGGCGCGCCCGGGAAGCAAAAACTGGCCCTTGCCGCTTTGGCTGCGATTGGAGCACAATGACATCCCGGAGGCAGACTGTTTTGAACGGAAGGCGGAGCTTTGCCTTCAGGCTGCACGACCAGAAGCGAAAGGAAAGCTAATTTGTTGGTTTGTACCTAAGAACCTGGTGGGATGCAGAAGTGACAATTGCGGCCATTCCACTGCGGACCATTGCCCGGTGATTCACATTCCGCACTTGCGTCCGGAGACGAGGAAAGGCAACGCTCCTGCACGCATGGCTTCTTTGTCATAGTTGGGTACCATTTTTACATTTTCAAGGGTACTTAAACCCGTGCCAATAAGGAATAAAACATACGTTGTTGTTCATATTATCCCAACCATGAACTAGGTTCCCGATGCAAAGATGGGGAAGCAGCGCCTCACTGATCCTTCAGCGGGCAAGCTGGGCAAGCAGGTCATCGCGCAGGCAGCTGGAGTAACTCTTCATAGTTGTGTTCTCCTTTGGGGAAGCTCATCTCGCAGACATGCTTCATGTGTGTACCTTTTCAATACTTGAATGCACGGAAGAGTGCTGCAGAAGTTGCGATGAGTGTGCATGAATGCATGGTATGGAGGTGCCCTAAACCCTAAACCCTAAACCCTGAACCCTAAACCCTAAACCCTAAACCCTAAACCCTACACCCTAAACCCTAAACCCTCCTTGCCAGGTTCCCGGCGCAAAGCTTGAGGAGCCGGACATCGATCCCCCATCACTCGCCAAGGCGCGAAGAGCCGTTTAGGGTTTAGGGTTTAGGGTTTAGGGTTTAGGGTTTAGGGTTTAGGGTTTAGGGTTAGGGTTTAGGGAGGGCATTCTCTATATCCCCCCTTGGGGAATTAGTCTTTATTAAGGTTCTAAAGGGTGTGTAGGGCATTCTCTATATCCCCCTTGGGAATTATTATTATTATTATTTTTTGTTTAGTTTTTGTTTATATGAAACCCAAGAGGAGTTTAAACATATTATTTCTACTAAGGTTCTAAGGGGAGTGTAGGGGCATTCTGTGGCAAAAGCTATGTGGCGACTACCGGCCAAGGGGATGCCGTTTCATCTTAGTATATCTTAGTCGTTGTGTTGTCTTAGTCTTTGAAAGGCGTCTTTGTGTGCCAGCGTCTAGGATCATGTATAGACTTCCTTTGGACTCGCCTGCCACATCTTGGTTCCAGAACTGATTGCTGTTAGTGCTTGCTGTCATTGCACGGCTGCCACACACATCGCAGGAGGCGGACACAACTGACGCCGTTGTGGAAACCTTGCCCGACATCTTGCAAGAAGGCTCGCAAGATACCACCGCGAGCTCCAGTGAGAACGCCGAGCCACCGACCGCTCCTTCCGGGCCGCAGTGTTTCACGACTGGGGATTTCCGCACGTTGCCCCCAGATGGATGGTGCCAGATCCACTCTGCCTTTATGCAGAGATCACCCCCCAGAACCAACCAGCCGGCGTGTTCTTCAAGCACAGTTGGGATCGGTGATTTTCGAACACTGCCAAGCTTTGCATGGGTCCAATTATACACACCCTTTCAGATTCGGTAGCACCTAAATTTTAAGCGCAAGAAGTCGCATGTAGGCGCTAGCTGGCATTTGCCGGGCCAGCATCGGAAAAAGTGTCGGAATGCGATGCAGCACATGTACCGGGCTGGCCTTGCACTCGGATTGGTACACCCCCCCACGCGTCTTCAGTCCAGCGCCGAGGAGAAGCAGAATCGAAAGAAGCGAAAGAAAAGAGCTTGGCGCCTAAGATACCTTCTGCCACTTGGCTGTCAAGCTTCTTTGAGAAGAGTGACCCGAAACCCTAAACCCTAAACCCTAAACCCTAAACCCTAAACCCGAAACCCTAAACCCTAAACCCTAAACCCTAAACCCTAAAATATTGGCAAATTACAGTATAGGTCCTTCGGTGTTTGGAGCAGGCACCGCACCGCGCACCACAGCGACAGCGAGAGCAGCTCGTCGAGCCCGGAGCCTATGCCAGGATGGGCGATTATAGGCCCTCTAATCCCCATAGTCAACCCTAAAAAGGGCCTTTTTTGGGGTTATCGGGTATAATAGCCCATCCTGGTGAGGAGTTGAAATTTTTGTGCCATGTTTTTCGAGTCTTCGCAAGGTTGTGCAAGCAGCAGCACCAGCAGCAACAGCTCCAGCAGCACCGATGGTGGCGAGATCGGAAGCTTCAAGCGCCAGAGACAGCAGGTCCCCCTTCGTGCAACGACTGGTAGAAAACCTGTAGATCGGCCCCTTGTTCACCGCCAGGTCCAGCAGCAGTGGAATCTCCTGAAGGGAAGGCCGTCGAACTTCTCGCCACCCTTGGACAGTGCAGACTCCGGGCCCAAAGAGCAGACATTTTGTCGCCGCTTTTGAACACGCAGTTCCATTGAGCATTTCAGTTGAAAAGTTCATCTCGTCAAGTGCCTTCTCCGCCTCTCTTACATATGCTCGCCACCCCCCCCAAGATCTACGTTTACAGGTTTCCAGAACCCAAAAAAAGTCAAACACGCCAAAATCAGGATGCCAAAAAGCCCAAACCAAAAAAAACAAAACAAAACAAATATTATTCTGAGACTCTTGGACAGGTGAAACCAAAACAACCCAAACCAAAAAAAACAAAAAACCAAACACACCAAAACCAAAAAAACATTATTTTTGAACTCTTGACGGCACGGGGTAATGATTCCCTTTGTCCAAGAGTCTCGGAATAATGTTATTTTTTTTTTTTGGTTTTGTGGTTTGGGGGTTTTTGGTTTTTCGGTTTTTTTTTGGTTTCCCAGAGTCTCAGAAAAATGGTTATTTTGGTTCTTTTGTTTTTTTTTGGTTTTGTGGGTATTTGGTTTGTCTGATCGCGTGTTTCTCTTGTAGAGAAATGGTGCTTGCCCAAAACCTAGGGAAATACTGTGCTTTTTCGGATGCATAGTGCCTGTACTAGGCAAATATTGAACTAGTACTATACGAAAGAGGCCGAGTGAACTATACTAGTTTTTGTTCACTCATAGAATATCTATTGCAAAATGTAGCGATTGTGCTCGGCAATCTAGACAAATACTGCAATTTTAGAGACAAGATGCTTTTTTGAAAAGCAATTCGTTCTGTTTCTAGAGAAGCAGTGCTTGTCCCAAGCCCAGGGAAATGCTCTTCCAAGCACATAGTGCGGCAAAAATACTGAATTACGAACTCTTAAACAGCATAGACAAGCTTACAAATGCATAATTCTCGTAGAGTTCTTAAAGAAACACGACTTTAGCACAGCGATCATGTGTACTAGATTTGACTTTACACAAGCAGTTCTCATCACATAGTGATGAAGCACTGCTCGCGCACGAATTAAATACCACCTGTACAGATTATATTCTGTCTCAAGCGCACAATTCGCATAGACAAGCTCAAGAATACATATTCTTTCTTAGAAACCTATTTGCCTCGCGAAGATCATAGTACTCGGAAATTCCAAATCCTAAAGCCTTGGGAGAATCTCTGGCGAAGTTTGGACTTTTGGTTTGCAGGTGTTTCGGCACAAAAAATGCAATTTTCCTAAACAACGCTTTTTCCAAGCAAAATGTTGATTAAATAGGCAAATTATATACTATTGAAACACCTGGTACATTTTTAGAAGCACACCAGTGCAATATTCATTGCATAAGTACATACTGCTTTTGTCGATTTAGTGTAGTGTGAATTCCTCTTTTCAGCTTGCTTGGAGTGAGCAATGAAGGACAGCTATTGGGACACACGCCGCAAGCCGCCCGATAAGCAAGACTTGGAGTTTGCAGAACCCCCGAAACGCAGCGGACATGTCTTACCACGGAACCAATGATTACTATAACAGTAGGCATGATAGTATTGTTATGGTTAGTGGTAGGAATTACCCTACTATTGGCTGTTATTGTTGTATGAGAGGAAGAGACCCTTTCCTGGGAATCGTAACAGAAGCCCCGTCAGACCCAGTGTTGACACGTGCAGCTCAGCACGTATTTGTTGACTAAGACAACATTAAAAAACACAAAAAGCACGAGTTTTGTTGAGGTGTTAACAGCAAAACTGCTATACCTTCCAGGCTTTTTGGCTTTCGGAGAAAAGAAGGTCACATAATTTTAAACCGAAATTCGGTTGCAGATTTTTAGACCTTTTGCATGCATGATGTGTTACGTAAAATAGTCCCGGAAATACTCGACAAGTACGATTTTATCGGTATTTACAGTGTTTTCGGCGCGCACTACTTGTTCACAAGTGCGTGGAAGCAAGCAGAAGAGTAGTGCAGACAAGGAGGGTGTAGATCTTGGGCGGGGGGGGTGACCATATACATATATATATATATATAACATGTAATATATACTATAGGACCTATCTAGCATGATATAATTTACTATACTATCCTATACTATACTGTCCTATACTATACTCTACTCAACTATACTATACTCTACTATGCTCTACTATACTATACTATACTCTACTATATATATATATATATATATATATTCTGTGCAGAGGATAGCCTGCATGGCCCAAAGCCGACGCAGCCGCAGCCGGAGCCGGAGCGGCGCGGGGAGCTGCCCCTGGGCCACAGTAGCGCTGTCTATTGGGGGTTTAGGGTTTAGGGTTTAGGGTTTTAGGGTTTAGGGTGTAATAGGCCCCCAAACAGTAGGACTCCATTATCATAAGGAGCTCAAGAAGGTACCCCCAAGTTCGGAAACCAGGGGCAACAAGGTTTAGCTCATTTTTGGCTCTTGCAATCGCCTCTGAAAAAGCGCTCCCAGTTGGCTCTTTGAGTTTCTTTGAGTTCCCTCGTTTCACTTCCTTGTCTTCCCCTTCTTCCCATGTCTTCCCCTCGAAGGCTGTGGTTCGATGCACCAAAGAAGCACCCGGCTCAGGCGACACAGGATTCACAGCTGGGAATCGCTGATGGAAAAGTGCAAGAGAGCAGTAAAAGAGCATGCAATCTTGCGTGTCCCCAGGTACCGGGCCTTCGCCCTGGCTCCAGCTTTTCTGCACCAAGAGGACATCGAGGATTCGGGGGGTCGGCTTAGCTTGTAGGATATTTCGATGGAGCCGCGAAAGTGCGAGTTGTTGAGGCGTCAATGCGCCGTTGCATTGTCTCTCACAATCCTTCATGTGCGGGGGTTTACGATATTAGGGGGTGCCTTATTCGGGTCCTTATTCTAAGGGGATTCGACTCTATGGGGGTCTAAGTTAGGGGTCCCCCATTTTCGTAAAGTTCCCATTTGCAGGCCATTGCTGCCGCGGCCAAGCATGGCTCCGTGAAGGAGATCAATGACCGCAAGGGCTACTTGGCCTTCAAGCACAGGCTCGGGAGCGGATGAGTCCTTCGCGCGCGCTTGCGAGCGCATGTGTGCTGGCGTGCTTGCTTGCTTGCGTGCGCTTGGGTGCTTGCGTGCTTGTGTGCTTGTGTTCTTGCGTGCTTGTGTGTGTGTGTGTGTGTGTGTGTGTGTGTGTGTGTGTGTGTGTGTGTGTGTGTGTGTGTGTGTGTGTGTGTGTGTGTGTGTGTGTGTGTGTGTGTGTGTGTGTGTGTGTGTGTGTGTGTGTGTGTGTGTGTGTGTGTGTGTGTGTGTGTGTGTGTGTGTGTGTGTGTGTGTGTGTGTGTGTGTGTGTGTGTGTGTGTGTGTGTGTGTGGTGTGTGTGTGTGTGTGTGTGCGTGTGTGTGTGTGTGTGTGTTGCTGTGTGTGTGTGTGTGTGTGTTGCTGTGTGTGTGTGTGTGTGTGTGTGTGTGTGTGTGTGTGTGTGTGTGTGTGTGTGTGTGTGTGTGTGTGTGTGTGTGTGTGTGTGTGTGTGTGTGTGTGTGTGTGTGTGTTTGTTTGGTGGGCCGCGTGGATGGCGTGCTTGCCAGGGTGTGGCGGTTCGAGCTCCAGCTCCGATCTCTTTCCCCCGGGCTTTATGTGCCTCGATGGAGATTGGACTCCTAGGGATAAGGGGGACCCTTAAAAGGGAACCCCTTCTTAACCCTCTTCTGGCTCTCTTAAACAGGGACCTTATTCAGAGGGTCTATATCCCCAAGGGTCCCAAATCCTATCCCCGATTGGAGAGCACCTGGGCACCTTTGCGTCTTCTGTCTTTCGCGCAAGCTTTTTCAAGCGAAGCACTTTGGAAGATGCCGACCCGCCCCGGCAAGCCACGTCATGAGAGTCCAACAAATGGGTTTTTGGACACTAGGGGGGTGCCTTATTGGGGTCCTTATTCTAAGGGAATCCTACTATTAGGGGGTCTATTTTGGGGATCACCAATTTTCGTAAACCCCCCCCAAATTTCAAAGCTCTTTCTTTGTCCCCTGCGAGGCCCGGCTGATGGGCCTGATGCGCAGCGCGGATGAGGCGCAGTGGCAGCGGCTCTCTGCGAAGTCCAAGCCGCTTGGATCTTTGATGAAAGGCGCGGAAATCGCAAGCATTAGGCTGAAGGCAGAGGGTCTCTGAAGATTGTTACATGAAAATTGCATAGGACGAAATGTCCCCAAATTTAATGGTTAACGGTTAGGTAAGCGCTTCACGTGTCCGCCTGCCCAGCACACGTTCGTTCACTTTCACTCGGAACTTCCGTGCATGCGTTAAACTGCTACAAAGCATCTATGAGGGAATCTGGCCCAAATTAACTGTGGGGACATTGGAGCGCTTGAAATGAAGGATTTCCACGTTAAGGGGCCAACTGTCTCTGACGATGCGATGCAAGACCCCGCAAGACCGTGCAGTCGGCTGCCAAGTTGCGAGATGGGGGTTTACGATATTAGGGGGTGCCTTTTTGGGGTCCTTATGATAAGGGGATCCTACTATTTGGGGCTCTATAAATGGGTCCCTTATTATGGTACACCCCAGATGAACAGCAATGGACAGAGTAAACGTGTAAGAGTGGGCCTTCGTCCGATGCAGACTTGAAACTTGAATCACCTGGAAGCCACATGGCAAGGTTTGAAGGTGACCTTATGAAAGGCAAGCGTGAACAGCCTTGATTGTTCGGACTTTCGAATCACGTGTTCAATCCTTCAAGTCAATCCTTCGAATGTGCATGTCGCGGCATACAATCGGCCTTTGGAGCTTAAACTTCGACATTCGCAAGCTTCCCGCTCGCTGCGTCTGTATGTAGGGCTACGTGTTGGATTCGCATCCGAACATAGATGTGACTGCAATGTCCTGTGCTGCGATTTTGATGATGTTGCTGAAGGCTCACTGAGCTGAGGAAAGTTTATCCGGAGGTGGAGTACATCGAGTACGATGTGGAGGAGATGGGGGAGCCTTGCTTCATCGAGCCCCACGTTGACAACAAGTCAGCCGCATCTCAGCTCAGCAGAGCGGACAGATTTTGTTATGAATTGCCTTTGCGAACCACCGCAACCGCCTTGCAAGGTGACCCTGGTAGCGATGCTTTCGGCTCCCGATGCCTATGTCGGAGGGCACAGCTGCTTTCGGAGGGCCGCAGGAAGCCGCGGCCACCGCGAGGTGCCAGTGGTGATGGGTGGTAGTCATTGGATCTACACCGGGCTTTGCCTGACTTGCCTGCTTGCTTCATTCCATTGAGTTCACGTCAGGTCTCGCTTCAGAAAGGGGACGTGGTGTCTTGGACTGTCTTTCTTGTCAAAATTGGCTGAAAGTGTGCAGCGAGATGGTGGGCTTTGTGCTGCTTGTGCATCAAAGGTGCTTTTCCGTGCTGCTCTCAGTCTCAACAGGGCCTTGATCCGCTCGGCTTCGACCTCTCATAGCTCAGGTGGCGAGAAGCTCGTACACTGGATAACGTCTCCTTGGCTGCTATAGTCAGCGAGTGCCGCACCTGTCATAAGCCCGAGCAATTGTACACAGCAGGCGACACAGGATTTATACGCTAGATCACAGTGACGTGTTGCCTTAGCTGAAGGACTTGTGTTAACGAGGCCTGTCACAGCCGGCCGGCGCGTGATTCTGCAGATCGAGCTGTCGCGCGTGTGACATTCGCGTATTTCTGTGATAGTGATGTTCCTACGTGCGCCTTTGCGACCATGGCAAAAGGGCCCACTGCACACTGAGTCGAAAGCTGTCGCGTGTTTGAGCCCTAGCTACAGGTAGCCTTTTCCAATGATAGGGCGAGACAACCAGGACACCGCAGAAACAGCTAAGAAGTTTCGAATCCTGCGGTTGCTGCAGGAGACTTATCAGAAGCATCAGAAGCAGCAGTTTTTTGGGGGTAGACATGTGTAGACCTCCATTCCCTTACTTGTTCCGTGGAGCATGTGGCGCCGGTGAAAGCGCCACTGGACGCCAACATGCCGGGAGCTGCTCGTGAGCTGCTTGGCGTGCCGACGCCTGGATGCCACGGCTATCGATTGGATGATACAATTGCGGCCTTCTGAACTGAATTCAGTGATGCTGCATCTCGTCTCGATGCTCGAGCACGCCCGGCCTGCTTTGCGAGAGTTAAGGTCACTGTCTCTCCGGACAACGTAAGGCAGATGGTGGATACCTCCAGGCGAGGACTAGAGCCCCATACCTGGCGCGCACGCACTCCAGTGGGCGCAAGCCGCATTTTTGGCACACAAATCCAAGGCCTCGCTTTGTGCAGTCCGCCCTGCGTTGCGTTGGCCCCGGCCCCCTGGGCGCTGTGGGCACGGCGCAGGGCACGGCTCAGACGGCTCGCTGCGATGATGCAGCCGTGAGGCTCCGATAAACACATGTTGCAAGAGGGAGGGAGAGAGAGAGAGAGAGAGAGAGAGAGGTAGAAACAGGGAGAGATAGGGAGAGAGAGAGGGAGGCATTGCACAGGCAGGAAGGAAGGAAGGGGAGACAGAGAGAAGGTTTTACTCATGTTCTGAAGTGGTGTTGCTCAATTTCCGGCTGCATCCCGAGCAGACATGACAGGGCTGATCTGCGGTGCCGAGCACCGGACTTCAGCAGAGGCTGCCAATCTTCCCGCAAGATGTTGCCAAACTTTAGGGTATAGAATTAAGGGATTATAAGGGGGTTCTCATTTAAGGGCCCATATGACTACCATTAATTGCTGAAGAAAAGCTGCGCATATTCATCGCCCTGGCTTTCCCAGGGTTGGCGGATCTCCTGCCATATGCCCGCGTCATCCTTCAGCCACTGATCTCCCAGTGTCGACCTGACCAAAGTGTTCTGGTCTTAGGACTGGGAGGCGGGTGATGCGGCTGTGATGCGGGAGTGCTCCTGCTAGTCTCCTGTTCAACAACTTGTATGACCTGGAATTGATGCGGAGAAGGCTGCTCTCTGCTCGGCCTTGATCCTCTGGCAGGCGGATCAATACCGACGTATTTGCGGAAGTTCTGCCCTGGTATGCACGTGCCTGGGCAACACGGGGGCAGTTGCATTGTGCCATTGTGCAGCTTCTCTTTGCACTGGCGGATGCACGTTCTAAGGTGCTAGCAGTGGACAAGAGCTCAGATGTAGTCCGAGCAGCACGGGACTTCTTCGCATATCGTGGTGCGATACTTAGCTTGACAAGCATGCATTTCCTCCACCCCACCCCCCCGCCCACCCCCCCCCGGCCCTCTTGTGGGGAGGAACCACAGCTTCTTTCCTCCCCTCCCCTTGTAGTCTGCGCCTCCCGTGGTCTTCGTGGGCCGGTCGTGTTAGCCACGGTTTTTGCCCCTCGTGACGGTGAGCATCCTTGTGAAAAGCGCAGCAGGGGTTACGATTTGGAGGCCCCACCGCTTCTTGACGATTGATGTTGAAGATCACCATAGAATCCACATTGCGACATAGTGCGACTTCGTTGCTCCGGACTCAAGACTCGCCTTGGAGAAGAGGCTTGTGTTTCGCAGGGCGGGGACGCATCGGAACCTTGTGTGATGCGTCGAAGAACTCAGCTCGCGAAGCCCGACTCCGCTGGAAGGGATGAGGGCAGACTTGCAGATGATTTCGAGCCGGGGATTTGGGGCCCATGGTTGCACTGGGTACTCTCCAGGCCAACCGTCAACTCCGGAGACATGGAGAACAAACAGCCTGTAACCTCGTGTCAAGACGAACACAGTTTTGTGGCGCCACCGCACTTGTGTCATGCTCGGTCGCTGGCTGTCCCAAGCCCCTTCCCCTCCCCTTGCCCCGCCTGTGGTGTGGTCTTTGTGGGCCGATTTTGTCAAGCACGGCTCCTCGCCGTGTTTGTGTTTCATCTCGATGTTGACACCTGTGTGACAGGGCCATGCTTGTTGTCGCCACCATCGTTTCAACAGCGTGTTTGGAATTGATCGTTTTCCGGCAGTTGCAGCTGGAGAAGTGGCAACTTTTCGCAATTCGCAAGCGCATCAGCTAATACAAGCAGCTGCTGAGTGGCCTTCTGTTTTAACCGAGACCAGAAAGATAAGGTGAAGCTTTGGTGCAAGACTTGCACCAGGCGCTGGCTGACCTCTCAAGCGCGCAGCCAAAATCGTTTGACGCAGTTGCGGGAACCCCATATGGACCGATGGAAGCCTGCAGTCACTGCCGTGTCGGCATTTGCATCTGCTAGGGCTCCGAAAAGATTTCTGAGGTTACGGATGTTGGCCACAACATCAGGCTGAACAGGAAGGAGGGGAGAGCGGCATGTGATCCCTCAGTGCATGTCATGCTAGGTGTCAAGATGTAGGGATCAAGCGCCAGGACATGCAGAATGTACTGAAGCTGCTGAAGCCGAGCGGCTTGCTCGTGGAGAACCTGAGTACTCCTGCTTATGCGGCTGACCAGCTCATGCTCTACAAGGAGTTCCTGGGCGGAGTGGCTGAAGAGACGAGCAAGCTGTCTGCACTGTGCGTGTCGCATTTTGCCAGATGCTTCCAGGGGTGCAAGTGCCAGAACCCTCCATGTCAGACTGCCTGGCAAGGCGCTGGTAATCACATTCTGTTCGGGCGAAGCCAGGCAGTACGCCAGACAATCGAGCAATGAACGCTGAGTCCGAAAAGTGAAGAGTGCGTTCTGGAGCCGCTGGTCGACAATCACAAGCGTGGAGCAATCAGCTGAAGGTCGCCGAATTTCATAGCTGCACAGCACACGCAGCCACACGAGCGTTTCAGTGAATGATGATGATGATGATGATGATGATGATGATGATGATGATGACGATGACGACTTCTAAACCCTAAACCCTAAACCCTAAACCCTAAACCCTAAACCCTAAACCCTAAACCCTAAACCCAAAACCCTAAACCCTAAAAACACACGATGCCATCCCCGATTCGCAGATTGCCTGGAGTGGTCTCACTCGACTTTTTCGCCTGGACGATGCCGGAGATGAAATGGTGGAGGCAGTTTCGACTTGGGCTCGACTCTTGTTAAGTCTAGGGTTTAGGGTTTAGGGTTTAGGGTTTAGGGTTTAGGGTTTAGGGTTTAGGGTTTAGGGTTTGCTGTGATAGGGCGTAGATGCTGTGAAGGTTAGGTTTCGGAACAAGCTCGAAAGCTTCGTGAGGTGCTGAAGAGCAGCTTTGGCCCGATTGTGGAGGGCCACCTAACACTTTTCTCCCACCCCACGCCGTCCAAGGCGGCAAAGCCACCCAAACCTATTCCTTTTAGGGTTTAGGCCTAAACTCAGACAACAGTCCACTTTTCAAAACTTTGATGTTGGTTGAGTCCGAGAGTCAAGGGTGCCAGCAAGGTCTCGAAGGTAAGATAGAGGCCCTAAGACCGGCAGGTAAAGAGGACAGGCTGCCAGGCCAGGGCGGCAGGCCAGGCAGGGCCTGGAAGGGGCCCATGGCGGGGGGGTCAGGGGGTAAGAGGGGGTTAGGGGGGTCAGGGGGGCAGGGTGTGAGGGAGCCAGGAAGGTGGGGAGGGGGCCAGTAAAGACCAAGCAGGTCAGGGGGGGGTCGGGGCAGGGGCAGGAGACAGGCAGGGGGTCAGTGGGGGCCAGCAGGGCCAGTGCAGGAACCCCCTGCCTGGCGTCGGCCTGAGGCCCCTGGTAGGGGCTCCGCGGGCACCCCCCCAAAAAGGCGTTTAGGGTATTTACTTTATTAGAAGGGACCAGTACTGGTCCCGAGGAGAACGCGTTCCGGTACCGGGGGCGCTACCGACCCCCATGCTGTGGGAGGCGGGCGAGCGACCTGGGTGGGCTTGTGATTGTGCCATCGAGGTCAAAAGGGCTTAAGCGCCGCCCCCAACGTAGGGGGGCGGCCTAGGCCCTGAGTTTAGGGGGCCTCTGAACACCTTGCAATGGCATGGGACTGGGACTGGATTCCAAGCTCGCAGTTCTCACACACACATACACAATCACCGCCCGATAAATAGATGTCATTATGTAACAGAAACAGAACGTGCTCAATGCAAATGTGACCTGCATAAGCAGGCCAAAGTGCCTGAGCCTCAAACCAACTGGACGGGAATGCTCTCATGTGCCGACATGTTGCCTGAACAAGCAGGCCAGGGAGCTCAGGCGGGCAACTCTGCCGGAATGTTGCCGTTATATTTAAGCAAGCCTCGGCAAAGCAGCTGTGATTGACGCGCATGAATTTGCCAGCTTCGCTTTCTGTCTGGAGGCGGTGTTAGGGTGCTTGCACGTTGTCGACTCTACATGTTGAAACTTCTCCCCACCCGACAAGTGGGGCGCCTAGATTTTGGAGACGCAGCGGCGTACATTCAGGATCACGACGTTCAAGACCAGAACAGGGCCGGAATGCGGCCTGGAGATTCAGGTTAGGAGGCGGACTGTGGGTCTTGAGAAGGCGTCTGTACTGGAATGTGCCGAAGTTTCATGGTTGGTGGCGTCGCCCTTTGATCGACGCGCTTGCAATGACGCTGCGCAAGCCCCATCTCACTGGTCTACAATGGGGGCCTTGAAACAACATGGGTACCCCTTTGAGTAGAATCCCCTTAAAGGGACCCCTGAAAAGGCTACGCCTATTTTCGGAAACCCGACTTGATTGGCTGGGCGTGACAGTCGTTTCTTTCTCTCTTTTGTTGTGGCGACTTATTTGGTTGCCGGGGCAACTTAAGCTCGGCATCCAATTCACCTCCATTTTACTTTATATGTTTAGGGTTCCTCTAATTTCATACTAAGGGGGCCAAAAGTTCAACTTTTATTGGGGGGTTAAAAAGCACCCAAGTTTTAGTGCGCGCACACTGGCAGGTCGAAGCCGGTGAGGGCCGGGACGGCCTGTTTGTCGCCGTACTCAGGACTCGGCTGCTTCGTAGCGACAGGCAACGTTGGGTAGTGTGTGAGTTTCGGAGTGGAGAGGAGGAGAAAGGATAGTAGTAGCAGGAGTTCAGGCGAAAATCAGTTGGAGCTCCTTGTCTATACTGCCATCAGAAAGCAGCGGCCTCAGGAACAGCGCAAAGTGTCCACAAAGACCTTCACAACGACAGTTCACACGTTTTCCACTGTTGGCACATGTTGCTGCGCTCGCTCTCTTTCATCTCCTCGCTCGACCGCTTTAGGCGCCGGCGCCTACGGGCGGCTGCTGCAGCGTTGGAGCTGCAGCCGCCCTCACAGGACTCCGTGTGAGGACGCCCAGCGACGTGGTGAAAACACTCCCAAAGCTTCAGAGCCCCCCCTCGCGGCCCCCCCCCTTGAATTTCGACAAGGTAAGGTCTTTATCCTTAACTGAGGGCTTTGCAAGCTAGGCTCCTTAATTAAAACGTTTATCTGGCTTCTTCCAAGTCATGTTCTTCACTTGGAGGTTCATGCTACTTATTAACCAGTTATAACTGTACTTACAACTGTACTTCTAACCATTTTAGGGCACTTAAGGGGCTTATAAGTGGGTTATAAGTGCATAATTTGGTTAATTAGTACCATGAACCTCCAAGCAGGAGCTAGATTTGAGAACGTGGGCTCGTTCGTGGGTCTGAGGAAGCTGGAATCCTTCAAAGACGGTCCAGGGGAGGGGCTTAGGGTTTAGGGTTTAGGGTTTAGGGTTTAAGGTTTAGGGTTGCACGAAAAGCCTTCTTGGTTCAGTGCCATGAGAGCTGGCAAGGTCGTTCTATGACGACACCGGAATCTATTGGGCGTTGCAGCTGGAGAAAACAGAGGAGTGGCTGCCTCAACCTATGTCTTGCTGCCTTCGATATTTTATCAGAGTATGGGCCGATGTGGGGGTTCTTCCCCTAAAGTAGACCCCAAACAATGGGATTCCCTCTTAAAAAAGGGCCCCAATAAGGCACCCCCCCCCCCCCCCCCCATTTTCGGAAACCCCCAATACGGGGTCTCTGTTCAAGACCCTAAACCCTAAACCCTAAACCCTAAACCCTAAACCCTAAACCCTAAACCCTAAACCCTAAACCCTAAACCCTAAACCCTAAACCCTAAACCCTTGGTAGAGAATGATTGGTAGAGATGAGGGCCATCCACTTGAGGTTGGTGCCACTCCTCCGGCTGCTGCTTGCTGCAAAGGTCCATTCTATGCACATGCGAAGGGAGCTTGGGTTTAGGGTTTAGGGTTTAGGGTTTAGGGTTTGGGGTTTGGGGTTTGGGGTTTGGGGTTTGGGGTTTTGGGGTTTGGGGTTTGGGGTTTAGGGTTTAGGGTTTAGGGTTCAGCGCAGCACTGTTACAGGCAGCGGCTAGAGACCAAAAGGAGCTAAACATTTGTCCAAGTACCACTCTTCCATTGAATCTAAACGAAAAAGCTTGTGCATGAACTTGTATATTTATACATATATATATATATATGTATATATAGTGTTACAACGCACGCCATGAAGCGGCCAACATCCGCCAACGTTGGCGCCATGGTAGTGTCTGTGGGGCTGACAAAAGACACACAAAAGA